GTGATGAACCACTATCATCATCATCATCATCTGATAGTAGAATTAGTTTTCAATGTGATCTAACAGTAACCTGAGTAATTATTATGATTGACATCACAACATTAAATATAGTTTTCAATTTGATGTCAGACTATGCTCGGGAAGCACGATTTTGCATATTAAAAGTGTGTTAAAAATGCTTGTGTACACGCAAACCAAAAATCTATTACAATGAATGTTAGTTCCATTTCCTATCATCCTCTGTTCATGAACATCGCAGCGAATGTTAGAAGTTGACCTTGCAGGCGATGTAATGGTTTTTTGCCTTTTTTATTTCGTGTTCTGTCTGTGCTTTCACCTACACACGCAAGCATTTGCCTTGATTTTTATGTATAACATGGTAGAACAACGCACACACTTGCCTCGAATCTCTCCAGCAGAAAAAGCATACGAAGTCGAGTGTGAGAGGAAATGAGCGCTTCTTGTTTGCTCTTAGGCTATCCTTATTCAGAAGCATGGAGAGAGCAGTGGAGAAAGCTCAGGTCTGATAATCGCAACGTTCGTTGTTCGAGTCCAGACATGAATAATTTACCTCACTAATACACTTTACATTTTTCGGTCTCCAATTTTCTTGCGTTGGACCGCAGCTAGGTATATAGCATCCTCGGTTCATGCGGTCTCCACTTACATCCTCTGATGATGAATCCCACATAATTGTAAGCGAATCTTACATCCACCGGTTGGGTGTACTTATTCATCATTATGAAGAAATAAGTGCATCAAGATGAAAACGGAAACATGCTCTTTTATATCCCTTTTTACACTTTAGTGGTAAAATTTATTGTACGGTTAATTTCATAGAGCCCACCTCCATAAATTTTTCTAATTGGGAAATTAATGTTCTATTAATATTACTATTATTACTATAATTACTTCAACATATTTTAGATCATTCATGATTTGTCCGGGGATGGACCTTTAGCGTTTCTCTCCAATGATTATAGACAAGAACACATTGCTCATCACAACTAGAAAGCATTAATCTTACAAAACAAAAGAATTATTTGAAAGTCACAGATTTTAAAAGTTTTTTTTAAACTGCATGACGCTATTGGAATTTTATTGGCAAAATTTTCAGAATTTCGAACGTGTCTAAACTATTGCTAATTATGGGATATTTGAAAGACAATAAGATAAAGTAAAAAAATATAACGAAATAACCCACTTTACAAGCGATAGAGTAATCGACATTCAAACTTAAGCTGATCCTGAAGAAATTAAATGGGTATTTTAGAAATATCTGAGTAGTAATAAGAACAATTGAAGTCATTATGGAAATCAACCGGGATATACGTTGCCAGTACGTGCTTTTATGCTTAAATGATCCATAGGAAAATACAAAACTTTTATCAAAAGGAATTCTCGATCCTTTTTCACTAACAACTAAAAACTTTGAGAAAAAGGCATAAAGTCACTAAAATGTGGCGCCAGAAATGCTGGGAAAAAATTGGGATCTCCAAGGACTTTGACCATTTTACAGAATATTCTTTGGCATAATTAGAAAAGATTGTCAGTTGGATTTTTCGATCGTCTTTACCATATTCGAGATAATTGGGATCTAACACTAGTTTTTCAATGAAACAACAAAAATTGCGGACACGTGAGCTCAGACCTTAAAGGCTGGTGAAGACAATGACGGGAGGCAATTAAAATGCTTCCATAGTAATTCTTATAAAAATTTCAACCCATTTGGGCGACCTCTAAACCTGCATCAATCTTTACCATGTTTGCACAAACTCATATGTTGGGGTTATGAAGGGTGGCCTATAAGAAATCCAACTCTTTTTGACGTAGGACTACGTCTGTGATTTCTATATGGAGCTACACTTTGTCAAAACCAAAAATGGAACATATAACACAATTATGAAAGATTTTGAACATTAATAACTCATCTGCCCCTGGACCAATTTCAATAATTTTATCACCAATCGATCAGAAATATTTCTACGCAGCAATAGAAATGATGATTTTCAACAAGAAACTATTGAAAAAGGTGGTAATCTCAAGCATTGTCCAATGTACACATAAAAATAAAAGCTGTCTAGCCTCAACTCATTTTCGTTTTTGCGGGGTGGGGCCAGTGTTGCTCACAGCAGGCAGCAAAAGCAGCAATAGCAGCAGTACGAAGGTGGTGACAGGTTAGGTAGTCCACTCTTCCACCCAACAAGCAACAATGACTGGTCGTGGAAATGGAGGAAAAGGTCTTGGTAAAGAAGGCACCAAGCGTCATCGTAAGGTTCTTCGTGATAACCGCCATCCGTCGTCTGGTTCGCCGTGGCGGTGTCAAACGTATCTCCGGTCTGATCTACGAGGTGTGCTGAAGGTGTTCTTGGAAAACGAAATTCGTGATGCTGTCACCTACACTGAACACTCCAAGCGTCAGCGGCCATGGATGTCATCTACGCTTTGAGGTTAAATCATCACCAACTTTGGCAAAAAAAACCAACAAGCTTATTACAGTAAAGAGTTGGAATAGAATTTATCGGTGCCTGTTTGTCCATATTCAGAACCCCACGCCCCCAACGACCACACAAAATGTTCTCCACAGCTATAATCTTGTAACCAAATATGGAAGCAGGGATGCAAGTGATTTTGATCGATTTTCTTCATCAAAATTCTCTTTGAAAAAAATTACTACACAATTGGTACGCCTACAATTAAAAAACGGAAAGAGTTAAGATAATAGATGATCGATCAATTAAAAGAACTAACTGCTATGCACATTTGTTCCGTCCACTAGCGGTCCTACGTCAAGCTTCCGTTAGTGCCCCTAGGCACAGACCCTTCTACTTTCTTTTTCCTCAATGAAGCATCCCAATGTACCAGTCATGGCTATACGTTCCTATAATGGTGTGTTCCGAAATAAAGCAGATGGGAATTTCATATATCATAATATAAACTAATAGCCATGACTGGTACATCTACCCCAGCAGAAATTTAGAGAATTCCAGAAACATATGCTTTCATACCTTAGAAGCGATTCACACCATACAGTAATAATTTCGTTCGATTTTGGCAACACGTCTTCAATGCCTTTAATTAGATTTTGCCCTGCATTTTAAAATCATATAGGGTAAACGCCCCAATAGTGGAAGTACGTTAGTGCAATGTGTTCCTATAGTGGCTTATGGAGACTCCATAAACCACTATAGCAGCTTTTCGCAACCCACCGAGGGAATTTTATGATTTTCAAGCCAATTTAATGTCAATCTGTATTTAAGTTTCAAGTAATCATATTTATATACATACAGCATCATATTATATACATATACAATATCTGAACTCCATATTGAAAAGTTGGAAGCTTATTAAATTTCAAAATAAAGAACAGAAGAAAAGGAAGATTGAGAAACGCTGCACTATAGGAACACATCGCAGTAACGTACCTCCACTAATGGTGCGTTTACCCTACTCTGTTCAATATTTCTCTAAGATTGTCCGGTAAAAGTTATTACCGAATTTGCTTTAGATTCGATTCCATCCTGGATCGTGTATCAAGATTGTGTGTGTGATTTCTTGAAAACGTCAGTTTGATCGTTTGTTTTCAAAACCAAGCCAACCCAAGAGCTTACGTAAGATTAATTCTCGAATATTACAGTATAGTTTGAACTACATACCAAGAAAATTATAAAAGTTCAAAAACATTTGTTATTCGCTCTTAGAAAATAAGGCTGGACGTCATTTCCATTCGTTCCTATGAATCACGCATTAACATTGAAACACTGAAGAAACGAACAGAAATTGCGATGATCTTTTGTTAATGATGTAATCTCACAGCGTATTAAATTTGAAAACTAATTAGCATGTATGAATGTTTATGCACCATCATGTATTTTAAGAATAAGGAATTTATTTCAAGTTTTACCTGTTGTTACAGTTTATGCAAAAAATTAACCAATCAACAGAATGGTGAATGCCCATAATAAATATTGTGAGATAATAGTATTTAACTATGCCTAATATATAAATTAAAATATTGAATGCACGAGTTTTATCCCGTAGAGGTTAAATCAAATTATTTAAATATAAATGTATATGTATGTACATATATGCAGTCTACACTGATTGACGAGATTGACGAAATAAATAAATCTAATTGTGACTGACCAGATGATTAAGCTTGAAATTTTGAAAATCTGTGGAAATCTAAGAAGATAAAAATCGTGTGTCACCAACATCGAATTGACATTTTATTTTTTTTTAAAGCAGTTTATAACCATCAAAGCTCGATTAACCATGTCAATCCCTCAAAATATGTTGACAACATTTCTAGACCAACAATTGAAATAGGCGGAACAACCAAACGTAAACAATGGCTTTAAACGCAAATTCCTCGAGAATCAAAGCACATCCAAGCAATTTAACACCGTCATCTGATAAAGCAAACTTCCTTTATCGAATGACATTGTTAGTTTGCTTGGGAGTGTTTTGATTTTCGAGAATTTTGTGTTTAAAGCCATTGTTTACGTTTGGTTTTTCCGCCTATTTCAATTGTTGGTCTAGATTTGATTTCAAAGATACTACATCCATGCACATTTCTAGAAGAACTGCTTAAGATACCCACCTAAGTAACCATAGGCACGTTATTTCGCTTTTTTGGCTATATACGGGCCTCATCAGAACATACAAACACTGGTATAGCCGCTGTTCAGCTGTATATAGCCAAAAAGGCGAAATAACGTGCCTATGGTTACTTGGGTATGTCAATAACATCCACATAAGAAAAATTAAGTCGTTAGCATTCATCTTCAAGGTCAAAAATGTATGAAACCTGTTTATGCGTTGAATTAATTCGATAACAATTCTCCACCCATTTCCACCACATGTCAATAATAATTTACAAACATTCGAAAATTCCACACCCAAAAATATCGTTCTGAATCCGTCCAATCCGAATTCCATTAGGCCCGTACAAGCATCCTCATTAGCATAAACCTATAAATAACTTTAAATCCACTTACTTGAACTGATTCCAGCAGAATCGTCCGCTATATGCGTGTCCACAAATCTGGTTTCGGTGTTGCTGTTCTGCTGCTCCAACCCAACTGTCAACCGCAGAACAATTCCAACATCAAAGCTTTGAAATTCCAGCGTTGTCCCAAATAACTAGATACGCACAAACACCACAGCACACAATCCAGCAGAAATATCAATAACGCTCAGTTGTTTTGATAATTTGCTACGTTCCTTGCTTCGTTTCCTTGCACCTTAAGTTCCTCGATCTGCTACCAGTTAGATATTTGCTTTCCTTTTCACTCACACATTGGGCTCATTCCAAAGCAAACAAACCACCCGCGCACCTTTTCTGCTTCGAATCTATTCTTTTTCGATCAAAATCTTTCGGGTTCCACGTGTTTTCCACGAAAAAAAAGATACACAGCTTCTCACCACTTAGCCTAAGCACACTTCTTGCACTTCTCTCCAGTTTTCGCTGAGCCCTCTTCTTTCGTCGATATGTTTCAGTCTATCCCAAAATTGGAACAGAAAAAAAATACCTTCCAACCTTATATTATTGCTCTTGTTTGTATCGTCTTAACTCTGCGCCTTCGTATTTCGCCTTGAGCCTTCTACCTTTTCCCTCAGCGGCTACTGCACACATACACTCGGGATGCCACCCGAAATGATCCAGTCTTCTGCACTTCACCTCCCAACTCCAAAGCGGGCACTTTGCAACTTCTTGACCCACACAGTCCAGAAAAAAAACAGTTCCACTACGACGAAGGCTGAAAGATGCTGTAAGGTTGCCGTTTTTGGTCCAGAAAAGGCAAAAGAATCTATCCACTTGGACGTATTTTCAACCGTTTCACTACCGCCGCGCCGTCGTCTCTCGGGCTTCTCTGTCTTCTATTCCACCGACCGGCACCGATCTCCGCCACAACATCAACATAAAACTGTAAAACTGCAGTGCAGCGCAGCCCGAAGTTGAATGTTTTTCCACTTTCCACCAGCAGGGTGGTTGTAAGTTGTAAGCAACAGAAGGCACTTTACGCGGGACGCGGGGACTCTTCAAGCTCCTGTCTGAAACAAGCCAAAAAAGCGCAAAGGTACCTACAGGCGAACACGGACCAACCTAACGAACGAAGAATGTTGCAACGTTACTCCACTCGCTTCGACAGCAAAACTGAAACAAAAACATAACACAAACCACGAGAGCACTAATATGGCTGCTTCTTCGAATCTCCTCGTCCGGCGGCGGACGGACACCAACAACAACAACCCACCACACCAACAAACACCGATCGAGAGTTGCTCAATTCTCGCACCGTGATCGAGCGCACTCATACCGATCGCTTTGCCGTTGCATGCCCACCGTGGCGTCGTAGAATGGGAAAACTTCAGCGAGCATAGATTTCTGGCTGGTATTGTGCGGCAGCAACATACTGTGAGCACTCTCGCTCACTTTTCTGAAAGTTGCCGTATGATTATTGCATTTCTCTCCCTGTTTCTCATGAAAATTTGCTTTTGCACCGACGGCAAATCGAGCATTAAGCGTTTTCGTCGGCTTGAGATTTGCGCATTTTGGTAGGGTGGTTGTATGAAAAAGTAATAAGGGTTAAAATATACATAGGAACATCATGAGCGGTTTCGTTCCCTTAGAGATCCCATTCCATGCAAGGGGTAAACAATAACTTACAACGCTCATTTTTTGCAGGATGAATTATTACATTTCAGAGCATCTTTCGGATAGGTTCGCACATAATTTTCTTGAGAAAAACCCTGTGCTTGAAACAGAGTATCGTGAGGCCGAGCCGCTCGTGGCTCTATTACAAGTATTGACATATTAGATATTATATAATGACATTGGCCTTACATTCCGATATAATTGCTTATTTTTTGACAGATACACCTATTTCGTCCACTACTTGAAATAAAATCTCAGAATTTTGATGAGATTAAGATAGCACACACAAAATTTTCAAGTCAGAATCCAAAATCAACAATTAGAAAAATTAGAAGGCTTTCGAAGGCTTCATAGCATTTTGACGACTCTGAGACTGGAATATTTTTATCCGATTTCAGGACTTAGAATTCCAAATGTTCCATTGGCTTGACTTTGCAGTTTTAATAAGTGAAAACGATCCGAAACGTTCGATAGAGCAAACACCTAGGTGTTTTCACTAATTAGACTGCAGAAAAAAGCCAAAAGAGCATATCCTATCACAGTCGAATCACCCAACAATTATGATTCCAAACATAAATTTTCTATGAGGAGCTTTTTTTTATTAATTACTTTATTGGTACAGGCTCAATCGAATAAACTTTACAGAGCCGAGTTATCATTTTCGTTATACATTATTGATGTCTTATATTTAAAGTTAAAGGAGCTGGACCGGATACTCGCGGTTGTCACGAGGTTAGTGGAGATTTACAATTTTTTGGATGGGAAAAGGGAGAAGGAGGTTTGAAATGTGGTTTACGATACAAATGTTTAATTAATCCTAAAACATGAACTTATTTCTATTCATCTTGAAAACAAACATAAAAAACCCACACGTACAAAATACAAACTAAACACAAGGTTGATCAAACTTACAATCTAAGGTTAATATTCTTAAAGTAAACATATATGAGTTTCATAAACTCCAGATCACGTCTAGCCAAAATATCCCGAACTGGAACATTAGGTTGTCTACCTCGAGCCCGAAGGGAATCGTACAGCTCATATCTGACTCCACGATGCTCAGCACATGACCAAATAATATGATCGGCGTCCTGGTAACCTTGTCCACATTCACAGAGATTGCTGTCCTCCAGCCCAACACGGAACAAGTGAGCGTTTAACGAATAATGATTGGACATGAGGCGAGACATCATACGAATGAAGTCTCGACCCATATCCAACCCCTTGAACCAAGGACTCTTCGACACCTTAGGGATGATCGAATATAGCCATCGTTCCAAACTCCCTTCACTCCACTTATTCTGCCAGCTGACGAGTGACTGTTGACGGTAAATGAAGAAAAATTCATCGTAGGCGATTTGTCGATCGTAAATATCGCCTTCCATAGCGCCCACCTTAGCAAGTGAGTCAGCCATCTCATTGCCCGGAATCGAGCAATGAGATGGGACCCATGCAAAGGTGATGACAAAAGATCTTAAAGATAAAGCACTCAGAAGCTCTCGTATTTTCATGAGAAAATACGAGGAGTGCTTTACCGGCCTCATAGAGCGAATAGCCTCGACAGAACTGAGGCTATCCGTAAAAATAAAATAATGATCTGGTGCAAGTGAGGCGATCGTTTCTAGCGTATAATATATTGCCGCCAGCTCAGCAACATATACGGAACAAGGAGCTTGAAGCATTCGAGAGGCGCTATGAAATTCGTTAAAAATATCAAAACCAGCGGACGACTCTATTAGTGATCCATCTGTGAAGAACGATCTTGCGGAATCAACTTGGCCAAACTTTGCAGTGTATAATGACGGAACAATCATGGAACGATGATGTTCTGGGATTCCGCGAATCTCTTGCGTCATAGATAAATCAAAACTGACTGAATTGCCGAAGTCGGAGAAGCATACACATTGAGGATTATGCTGTGAAGGGCTGACATCCTGTGTTATGTACACGTAGTACAATGTCATAAAACGAGTTTGAGGGTTGAGCTCAAGAAGCTTCTCAAAGTTTTCGATTACTAGTGGGTTCATAACTTCACAACGGGTGAGGAGCCTGAGGGATAATTCCGAATACCGATCAGAGAGAGGCAACATGCCCGCTAACACTTCGAGACTCATCGTATGAGTCGAGTGCATGCATCCTAACGCGATACGTAGACAACGATACTGGATCCGTTCCAGTTTGATGATGTGCGTTTTAGCCGCCGACTGGAAGCAAAAACTACCGTACTCTAAAACCGATAAAATCGTTGTCCGGTACAACGTTAGAAGATCTTGCGGATGGGCTCCCCACCACGTTCCGGTAATTGTACGAAGAAAATTGATCCTTTGTTGGCATTTTCCTCTCAGATACTCAATGTGGGATCTCCAGGTGCATATGGAATCGAACTAGACCCCAAGATATTTGAAAGACATAGAATGAGTGATCGGCTTACCCAAAAGTTGAAGCTTCGGTTGTGCTGGGCTATGCTTCCTAGAAAAAAACAACCAACTCAGTTTTCTCCGAGGAGAATTCGAGTCCTAGCTCGATAGCCCAAGTAGACAAATTATCTAAGGTATCCTGTAAGGGAAGAGGAGCTTTTTGAGTGAGTTGATTTATTTTCTTTTATTTCCGTTATATTTGCTTATCTTTTTACAGACATAACGGAATTGAAAGGAAATAATTCAACAGATTTGATGTTGGGTTTTGATAGAATTCCGAGAATCAGTTTAAAAAATTAAAACAATTCTGAATGACTATTAAGGATTATAAGAAAATACGACGGATTTGTAATGAGAACTTCAGCTGTATTCTAAGAAGAACTCCAAGTGCGGTCTGAGTAGAATCCTAATATATTTCTGATGAGAATTGCATGGCGATTATGAGAAAAATTCAAAATGAACTTCAAGGATAAAAAACCATTGAATTCAATTCAATTCTGAGGAGAGTTCGAATAGAATTCTGATGGAATTTATGGCAATCGAATTCTAAGAATTGAAGATAATTTCGAGGAAATACAATTGTGACGATATTCTGGAGGTAACTTCGAAGAATGTCTGCAAGCATTTCTGGAACAAATTCAATGACAATGTTTAAGAGAGTTCAAATGGAATCCAAAGGATATGCTATATGGGAAGAATTCTAAGGGAATCTTAGAGATAGTTTCAAGGGCGATACACGAAGTAATCCAAACAAATTAGGAAATATCAAGGTAATTTTGAGCTAGATTCCTATAGAACTCTGAAGAAAATGGTATCTAAAAGGCAAATCTAACGCACATTTCAGTGAATTTTGATGATGATGATGATGGTCCCACCTCTTACCCCTACAAAGGTTTGAGCTGGACGATTTATCTTTAAGATAATTAAATGTAAACATTTTAACCAGGTTAGCAAAAAAACGAGCTGGTTACATTTACAGATATAAATTCCCTCTAGAGTTTACAGTTGCTTCACAGCGATATAAATGTGATAAAGCTTAGGCGTCCACGTCTAAGTTCGCCTTTTCGTCCACCTAAAATATTCATAAGTATTACAAGCGATCAAGAGTTAATGAAGAATCAACAAAGCATCCTATTACACTAGCAACTAATGATAATCTTGCGAACGTTCTAATATTACAGCATGTAGAGCAAAGTCAAAGAACTTTTTGGAAGAGATACCTGTAGTTATCTGCAGAGAAATTCAACATTTTTTTGGAGAAAATTTTAAAGAAACACCACAAAAAGTTCCAAAAGGAATTTAAAAAAAAAATCTGAGGTAATTTTCGGATGATTCTAGGGAAATTCTTCACAAAATTCCATAGAAATGTTGAGAAAAGTATCAAGGTCATTTAAACATTTATAAATTTGCATGATCTCGGACACAGAAAAAAAACTCAAGATTCAGAATTTGAAAATCTTTCTAAGAATTCAACTTCAACTTTTTCTTTAGGATTTGGAAATCTTTTAAAGAATTTTGATACTTTTGAAATTGTTTTTAAATATCAGAGACTCACACAAACTTGATGAAATGACTTGATGATTATTGATATAATTTGTAGGAACGATGTTTGGTATCGTGGATTAATTATACATTCACATTATGTAGTCTTCTGCCAACATATAACTTGATTTTAATAGAAAAAAAATACTGATGATATTTCAAATTTCTGTTTGATGACCAATAGCCCCTCCGCCTAATTGACGAGTGCCCCGATGCATTCGATTTCAATCACTGACGAAAATGTGACAGGTAAGCGGCGCCGTTGGTGTAGTGGCAAGCGTAACTGCTTTTCACCCCAAAGGGCCTGGGTTCAATCGGCACCGTCAAGATTTTTTTAGGCAAAGAACCACAAATTTGGTGAAAATATTTGGATTTTTTGCAAGCAATCGTTCCATTTCCCATATATGTTCCCATAAAAAATTAAAATTCTCCCGCAAATCGAGATTTCAACTAAATTTGATAAAATTATGCGCGGTTGTTGAAGACCTCAATACGCATTGAAAGT